ATTATTTATGGTGCGATGGAGAAAAGTACGGAGATTGTATACTCGCGATAATATTTTACTACGATTCGTCATAGAAAATTTATATTTTTCACTCTCCGATCATTCTTATTCTCTATCGCGTATTAATCTCGGTTAAATATTCGATATCGATATATTTTGTTTCTTGCAATAGCACGTGCATCATATAATCGCAATCGTCAACTAATCATTTGCGATACTTTCGAACTTTCGCGAGTATCTGTTTGAAACGTGAGTTTATATTGAATCCATATTACCGAGAACTACAGTAATTTGTCTCGTTTGATCCTGTTCAATATGCAACATTCGTTTATTCTTAAATACTCGATCGCGTTTCTTCGAATGGTTACACCGTTTTATAACCACTGACTGAGTGCTTATGAAGCTGTTTACTCACACATGTAATCGCGCACATTGCCGTAATCGCACAGTTGCTATCTTGATATTTTGCAGTTACGAAAACAATAAATTCGTATATTGCAACCGATGGTGCCGATCAAATATTTGACGCTCATCGACGGTTAAATATACTCACATGCATACGTTTATCACGCATGCATCACTATATGCGATGCGCGCAACATCGGACGATCAAATATGATTATATTTGCATAAGCCGTAAAATTTACCGTTGAAATTACCGAAGAATCGAGCCAACAGAGACGCCGAACAAATGCCAGTGGGGTTAAGTCGAGATACAACAAATTATTCGTCAAGAGGGGGAAGAAATAAAAAACCATAAAAGATACTATGTAAGTTTTCTCGCGCCGACTTCGCAGTACTTCGCATTCACTCTCGAGAACCTTTGCGGAGCTCCATCCCGGGAGTGGACATATCTGGCAAGTGGCGCAGACACATTCATCGTGACACGGTGAAAGAGACGAGCTTCGAGCATCGTAGCCGGCAACAATCGACCTGCATAGACTCTTGGGCAAGCCAGGAAGAGACGCGGAGAAATAACGTACGCAGCAGAAAGAAAGAAAGAGGGAGTAGAGGGTCGTGTAATTAATTTCTCGAAGGTTCGCAACGACGTCGAGTGGGCGGTCGTCGACGAAATACATTGCGAGAGATAGAACGAAAACGAAAAGGAGTGCGCGACGCAAGGAGGAAAGGTGGCCAATCCCTTTCGACCTCGCTCGCAATCGAAAAAGATCGACATATCATTGAACGTATGTACGTACGTGTTTTTATCGCAGGGCCACGCGCGCGCATTCCTCCCGGCGGCGGTGCACGACGTTGTGAATCAGGAAGCTGTCGAGAGACTTTGCGCGACCTTGCACTGCCGAAACCAACCGGATAGATTCGCGTGCGAGACACAAAGTCCGAGCCCGGAGTAGAAAAAATCTCGAAGGCGTGTGCGGTCTGATATTTCGACTTCCGTGAAAAAAATGGAATGTGTACCCTTCCGCGTATAAATTATATATGTATTATAGTGCTTTATAATTGCACCGACTTAAAAACTGCACAAATTTTTGTAAGCGTAAGCACTACCACTAAATTTCGCAATTACGTATTACCATAATTATATAGCACTGTTAATTATGTAGCTGAAAAAAATATTTAAGTATATGGATATAATAAAAGATAATTAACATTACACCATATCAAAGTTTCTTATAAAAAGATGGAGTCATTTTTTGATGGGCGTAGATCAATTTTTGTAGATGAAGCAATTCAAGTCTTCTACAAACCGAAATAATTATCTGAAAATAAAAATAAACCGGAAAAACGGATATTTAAATTTAAAAAAACCATAAACCTGAAAATGTGTCAGAAAATATGTATAAAAAATGTGAAAATCTTGTCTATACCATATTAAATAATAAAAACATCAAATTGAAATAAAAATATGTGCAGTCTCTAAGGCCGGCATAAGAACAGAGTGAAGCCAACTCTGCAAGTCTTCAATAAATTGCTAACGAAAAATCATTCCAAAAATCAAGAGAAAAACGACGCGGACGCCGGATATCGCCGAATCAGCTGCGCGCCGCTTTCAATATCCAGGTATTATCTTTATAGAAGAAATCATGGACAAAGTAGCTGAGTGGTTAATAAAAGAAGACTTGAGTGATTTAATAGAAATATTTACAAGAATTCTAATAAAAATATCTAATAAGAATATCTCTTTAAAAGATTTTCCTCTTAAATTAAGAGGATCCTTTTGGCGCCTATTTTAGTACAAGATATTATAAAAATAAGTGGCATATACTTAAAATAAAGATACAATTTTTTCGGTGCATTTAACGGCATAGCCGAATAAAAAAAGTAAGAAAACGAGATATAAAACAGCGAGCGTGTAAAAATATACCAGATAAAGTGAAACCAAAATAAAAAAATCATAAATCTATATATTATCTGTGGACATTTGAGATTTATGATTTTTCTAAGAAAAATATAAAAATATTTACTACACCAAATTAGATAATATAAAAAACACATCAAATAGAAAAATCGAATAAAATTTTACTACCCACAAAATAAAATATCAAGAAGCTTACAATTTCTATTAACGACGATTGTGCGTCTCGAATAAAATTTAAACGTGACTGCAATCTTAACATGCATGCAATTTATGCTCGATTTAACTCGCACTCATATCGATCAAGATAGATTGCATGCCGAACAATTCCATTTAACTTTCTATGTAATTTTTTTAAAGTATTTTACAATCTGGAACCAACAAAACTTGCCTCGAAATGTTAAAAAATTGCCACATCCATAATATTTATAAATCGATTCCAAAAAACTACTTAATATTTTATCGATAAATTTCGCTCTTAATCTCGCGACCACAGTCCGTTGATTCGCATCCGTTTTTGCTCAATACAATAAGAGAATATCCGCAATGCCGTTTCTCTTTATTGCAAGAAAAAAAATCTAAAATTAATTTACGATGTAAGAAGGATAGACAAATAATGCTGAATAATATTACAGAAATGATATTCTCTGTTCTCTCTCAGTTTAAATTCTCTCATTGTCAGTTTATATCGAATATCTGAGAAAATATACACAAAGTACTTTTTTTTCGAATCACGAGCTAGCGAGGACAAAAAGGTTAATGCACAATCCCACAGATTAGGTCTAATCACTATGTTCGGCTTTCCGTGCAAATAAAATATTTCGCTCATGAACGGACGCGTGCGTATACATATGCTCTATTTTAGGCAAGGACAACTAACGCACATCCGGAACTGTTTCCTTCCTATTCTCCTTTCTCGCGCAACCCGCGAGACGTCTACGAGGTCATGATCTCACGCAATGATCTCGATTGTTGGGTGTCAAGTGCACCGCCCCTTCTCGGACTGACCTCCGGTCGCTTCCAAGGCGAAAAGTTACGTGACTTTTACGGCCCGATCTCTCGCAGATCGGCATCAGGGACATTTCGCGAAATTTTCTATTTAAACAGCTTTGAAAACTGGGTCGGAATGTCACAAATCAATGATGTCTATGAATTAAATGATAGATTCAAACAACCTATGATAATAGTATTTGTTATCACCTACACTAGGTGATAACAAATAATTCATAGATTATTTGAATAATGACAACTAATATCTTTGCTGAATCTATTCATAGGTTTTCCAATAAAAAAAGAATAGCCCCAAAGTATTTATTTGTTATAAGACTTATGAGGGCGGACATTTTCCGTTTACGTCTTAGCAATTATAATCTTGAATTGTTAAGACATTCAATTTCTTTTATTATATATTTTTCCAAATTTTCCACGATTATAATTTAGAAAATGTTGTCCGCCCTCATAAAAGTCTTCCCTCCAACTCTTTGAAGCTTAACTGGGAGGAGGGATAATTAAAATATCAATTGCAGAATTACAAAAACAAAATATCATTATTGCGCTTCGCGCAAGTTTATTGATATTAGAGTAAAACGACGGGCACACAGAAAATTTTGGGATGTAAATGACATATATGATAAAAATGTGACATCAAAATGCAATTTTGATATTTGAAATAACCACGAAATAACCACCCCAGATAAGGTGTTATTAAAGCGTGGCGTTTTCTGTGTATGGTTTTTCTTGAAAATCAGATAACGTGCAGGATGCTCTCAGCCACGTGCGTATCCTACAGAAGTAGTAAAACGAAATAAAAAAATTATTTCATTTTTATGCAATTAATTTAAAAAAAATTGAAATTCTCGAAGAATTCCGCAAAGATATTATTTGTCATTATTCAAACAATCTACACAATAGAGAAAACAAGCGTTACGCATGACCGCAAAATAATACGGCGAGCACGAACTCGACTCTATCCACGATATTAAAACCACAATCGAAAGATGAAAATAAGACGAATGCGTACATACATATACATTTCTATTTGTACACGACGAGAGTAAAATCTCGTCTCGAGGCGAGGTGTGTCATGCGGTTACGTAGAGAATTCGAGAGATAAGAGCAAACCCACACTTCCTCTAGTTTCGTTACGCGACGACTAAGAGATAATGTGACGGGTGTTAGGTGTCCACGTTCTCCGATCAGTTTCCTGTATCCGCGAGATAGAGAAACGGGAACCGATCAATCAATCGATATCGTACGTCAACCGGATCTCGTCTTCGGGTCCCCGGTCGTGTCGGTGCTCCGGATTTAAGTGAATTTCGGGAGTGTTTCGTGTGATAATGCGACCGATTCGTACCAAGTACAATACATCGGATGCATTTGCCGATCGCGAGTGCGGGAGTGTCGTATTAAGCGATTTGTGTGCTTCTTTTCCGGTCGAGCGAAAGTGGAATGAAGTCATTAATGTCTATGAATGAAGAAAATGAATATTGTTTCTGATGCTTCACCAGCTCAAGGTCATTATTGGATTCCTGGACTTAGGGTGGTCCCTTCCCTCGACCTCTCGTTCGTCCTTGCATCCGCGAAGCATTATGTCCCCTCGCGAGAAAAAGGCAAGACGCCTGGGTCTCGCCACCGTCCCTTCGTGCGTTTGTGCGTGAGCACGTCCGGAGGAAGAGGAAAAAAAAAAAAAAGATTCTCTCGACCGTGGTGGAACTGCCCGTGTGCAGAATCGCGACGTGCCGCGGAGCGAGCGAACGAGGGAGCGAGCACGAGCGCGTTCGCGAGAGTGGGAGACGCGAAGGTATAAAACCGATCTGGTGGACTGGTACCAGCCAGTCCAAAGGCCAGATGCGGCGGCGGCTCTAGTCGCACGCGTGCGAGAGAGACGATCACGGTGCTCGGCGTGCGGTATTTCTTATTAATTTAACAGGCGCGTATAGATATTATACGCTCATGCGACACTGATCAGCATTTTGTTGATCATTCCCTCGGTGGTGATTCCGTGCAGGATTTTCGCGAAAAGGTCGAAAGAGAATTCGCGCGTCGTGCGTGTCTAAAGGGGGATTAAATTGACGAGACGACGAGGCACTGTCCTGCTCCGAAAGAAAGGACGGCGAGCTCCGACTCGATTCTACCTGTCTTAAAGGGTACCCTGGGATACACACGCGCTTTAGCATCGACCTCTCCCTCTGAATCATCGAAAGGAGGGTTTCGAATTAGATAGTCACGCACGGAGCATCCGATTGCGATTCAATTTTTTTTTTTCGAGGGTGACCGATAGTGGGTTTTTCTTGTGGAATTTGTGGATTAATATACAGGGAAAAGAGATCACCAGCCGCCGCGACAAGGAGTGGTGATCTCATTAACACGAGGAAGACACAGGCTAATAATAATCCGGATAATAATCCAATGAGGATTCAGGAGACATCATCGATTTTCGACAGCAATCTGGAAGAGAGCGCTCTCGCGTCAGAGCGGTTTCGCGAAGGATCGACACCCCGTAGCATGTCGGCAATTCGTATCAACGTGGAGAAGGCTTCCAACGACGGTCGCGAGGATTTCGTTAGAAACGTAAGTCCGTGACAGTCTCGAACAATCGATCATAATGTGTCTAGTCTCGCCGACGAGCTTCAGGATGCTAGGATGAGAGGGTGCAAAGGGAAAGAGAGTTAACGCATCATGCGGAAATCGCATCCCCTTCCTCTTATTTTATCGGTCGCTTTCTATTTCATCGCTTCTTCCGGTATACAAACGGCTGCTGCGCGCATCCACGTTTCGATCTCCCCCCATCGGAGATTCAACCTCGCGAAACCCGGAGGCACTTTCACGGTTGCGCGACGAATATCTCTTAGTTTGGCGGGAAACGCATCGCGGCACAAAAAGTACCGCGAGCATAACCGAGAATCGCGGTGTCGAGATCCGGTGAAACGATCAGAGCGAATAAGCTAATGAGTTAAGCTCACTTCCGATGAATAATAACTTGAATCGTCTATACTGAAAAAAAAAACTATTAAACTCAAATGAATATTTACTTAAATAGTTACATTTACACATTTATTTGAAACAAATAAATATTTTCCTGTTTTGAAAAAGGATTTCTTATGTCAAATATTTTTCACAGCAAATCAATATTATTAGTTTCAAAAAAATGTAAAAATAGTATCGAAATAATTATTTATTTGAATAATTCAATAATTTTTTTCAGTGTATCTTGTATATATTATAGTCAATTTTTTAGATCTATGGATCTCTCCCGGGAAAGACATAGATCTCAGATTAAGATTAACCTTATGAGGAATATGATCGATACAATGATTTGCGAATTTCACTTTCCGCACGTTCGTATCTAACGCGTGATGACTCGCCTCGCAATCGGATCCCGCTCATGTATCTTGCAACAGAATTATTCGACTGATTGCAATGTCAACTGGGGAAGTCACCGACATTAACATCTGCGCCAGAGAATATAAGAGAAGAAAGAACAAATTTTGTTTGTTAAACTCTTCTCGACCGAAATTCGATTTTATTATTAATGCGAAAGCATTCTCTTCCGTCGTCGATCGGGTTATCTGCGCGTAACGAAGCATAATTGCGCGTTCGCGCCAAATGACAACGAAAAAAATTGTTACACGGCAGGTTACAAATTGGATTTATGTAAGCCTCCGATGCAATCCATTCTCGAATGTGAAGTCGCTGACTTCACATTAAAAGATAAAAAATGGCCCGCATAACTGCAATTTCCCATTGTATAAAGATAAAAAATTATCGGATCAAATAATTTTCAAAAAAATATAAAATAGTTAAGTCAAAAATGGTCTGCAGTTATGCGGGCCATTTTTGCTCCTTTCTATTTATTTTACACAGAAAATTTAGAAGTCTCACATTATAATTGTTATAATTACGAGAATTTGGAATTTAGAATATATCTTTCTCATCAAAGATTGGGAAATAGATTGTGTCAATATTTTTAGCTTAATATGTTTTAAGCAGAGCTCTTAATAAAAAAATATGTTTATCATTTTTGTTTAAAAAAAATAGAAAAGGAAATCATTTAAAAAAAGGATGACATAATTATAAATTTTTCGAAACATGAGGGATCAAAAAATTGAAAATTATAAAATCTTTAATCGCCATCATGTATTTCAATTTCTTCAATTTACTAATTATGCAAAAAAAAAACAATGAAGAATATGGAAATGAATGTAAAACTACGTTCTTGTGCCGCAATCGAGAGAACAAGTTCAACACACGAAAGCCTTAACAGGCGCGATGCGGTCTTAATATAATCGAGGTTCTACTGCAAAAGTGACATAGACATATCAGAAACGAGATACCAGAGATCGCAGACCATAGATTATAGACCATAGACGAAAGACTATAAAAAACCATAGACCAGAAACCCTAGACTAAAAACCAGATTGATTATGAGATCATTGCGAGATCGGCCTCGTCGCGTACGCATATCATAAAAAATGCAAAACGATGCACGTTTTCTAAAAAAAAATTCTAATTCCGATTTCGATGAACGTAAATTGATATCTCCAATATCTTTGAGCGAAAGTTTAGAAGTTTATCGACGACATATAAGTGAAACTGAATCTTTTACCATAAATAAATCAACGACTCGCGTGTTTTCGCCGCTGTTGCACAGACTTTGGTAAAAGTCGCGTCATTAAGCACGCGACGTTATTGTAATTAGCTATTTCGCGTATTAAGCGAACAAACTTGGCGTCATAGACCTAAATGAAAGAACAAGTCAAACTGCTACCGTTTTTAGTTACGGAACACCGCCTACCAGTCTGTCGAACGTGAAATGAAACTAAAAGACATATGCGGCACAAAAATGATATCACTATATGGCTGAACGACCTGGCGAAACCGGAATAGTCAAGTATATACAGGGTGTTCTAGAAACCGCGACTTTAGTCGATATTTAATTCTATGATCGATCTTAAATTTTTTTTATTTCTTTTTTTTAATTTTTTTTCTTTTAACCGAGACGTCGAGATCTACTTCCGTATCAGAGAAATTGTGCAATTATGCGTGACACGCTATTGTTAAACTGCATCTTTAAATACAGATAAAGGTTCGTCTCAGGGAACTGTTCTCACGGATAGTAATTACGCTACATAGTTAACGTATAGAATATCAGTGTGGTTTCGAGATTTTTTTTTATAACTACAACGTTATTTTTCATAATTGCTCTAAACATAGATGTATATATATGGGAACAATATTATTCTTCGTTTCCCAGCTGGTCGCAAAGTTGTAGAACACCGTTTTTACATTACATAAAACTTGAACGGGTGTAAGGCTTATTAAGTATTCGCGGTGAATGGTATTACGGTATATAGTAATACACGTTGCCCGTGAACCTAATGCATTCGTCGCCTTTTACCAGAATAACTCGATTATATTAACACCGCATCGCGCCTGTTAAGGCTCTCGTGTGTTGAACTTGTTCCTCTCGATTGCGGCACGACAACGTAGTTTTGAAGACAAGATTACAGCTCGAGCTCTCTGAACTCTCGCTGTTATAAATCATACGGGTAGACACTATGTGACCAAAATAGATCTCACGTTGACATGACACTTCTCGCGTTTCTACCAAGCCGGAAGTTTCATTCGTAATGAATAGAACAGTTTTTATGTCATATGACTATCTTATAACAAAAAAGAAGTTATAATCGACAGACGTAATTAAATAAAAATTTTCGTTATATAATTTAGTACTTATATTAAAAACTTTTTTGTTAATTAAAAGAATTTCCTTTTATATTATTATAAAAAGAAAAAGGAAAAAAGAAACGAAGAGAAAAGCTATGGGATTATAATCGTTGTATAAAAAGAATTTTGCGAGAGAAGTAATTTTGTCATCCAGCGTTTCCATCCTTCTACTGCAAAAATCGCATAAACAGACCAGAAATAAGATCAGAAACGAGATCAGAAATCACAGACTATAATAGACCAGAAACCTTATTTGACTCACGTTTCTACCAAGCGGAAGTTGTTCATAATGAATAAGAGATTTTACTACGTCTTCGATTTACATTTGCGAGGATCAAATAATTCGTCGAAGATGTTAATTACTGAAAAAGGAAGGCACAAATGTTGCAAAATAATATCACGCTTAGATGACTATCCTACGACAAAAAAGCTATTATCGATGGACATAATTAAAAACAAAATTTCCGTTTATAATTTAATATTTAAAAAATATTTATTTTAGACTCAATGTTACATATATACATAAAACATTACTTCTTATAATATGCATAAAGTTTATATATCTGCCAATGAAAAAAATTAATAAATTCTAATATTAGGGAAGAGAGGAGGCTAACTTTTTTCATCCGGCTCTAAATATGTATAACTATACACATACACACATGTGTTTATCACATTTGTAGATTATATAATAATTTACATAATGTGAATTACTTTAAATCTCAAGATTAAAAGCTTTTATTTACAGTTTGTGATCTGTTCAAGTTGCATATCAGCTGTCACGCGACACGATTTCGAGAATCAATTTCGATAATCGGTGGAGTACGTCAAAGCAGCACGTATTCAACGGGAAGAGTAAAAATGATGACTAAGTGACGTTGTTACATCAAAAGCTAAGCGTTACAACGCGTTTACATTGCATTTATGTTATGTAACCGCAGAGCTGTCAAATACCTTAAGAAAATATTTCGTTAGGTTGCGTGATCTGAAAGATACTAAACTTTCTTCCACACGTTTGCATCGTCTGTTCGGAATATTCCGTGATTCACAATCGCACCTCGAAAATCTGAATAAATATGGAAAAAACAAAACTGCTAGAAGCGAAGCATCCGATTACATTAAGCGCGGTATTTATTTTGCAACATTTGTGCCTCCCTTTTTCAGTAATTAACATCTTTCTCACAAATGCAAATCGAATAGAATTCGCAAGTTTCAACATCAGTCTTCTTCTAAACCACTTTTCAAAATGTCAAAATGCTTGTTTTGATAAATAAAACTTGATTATACCAATTAAAATTATAACGAATGACCTATGCGAGAAAACGATTACGATATCCTTGGACGTACGCGCGCTCACGCACACAAGCGTCACCTGCATAAGGACTCCGAGGGATTATGACACGACCGATCGATTTCGACTGACGACCGAAATCGGGAATGTCAGTTATTAGACTCGTGAGTGACGAGAAGAAATGAGGGGCAAGAGGAAGACATGGCTTTAACGTTCTTTGGCATGCGAATGGAACGCAACCGTTGGCGATTTCGCAATTTACGGAGCGCCGTCCTCACGAGTTCTTTTTATTTATGTTGTAAATGCAAATCGATCTCGTAACGGTCAGAAAACTCACAATGACCTAGAAGGTTCAAAACGATTAGCCGAGGACAGATTCCGAATCTATATACTTGTGACATTTAACAGCTGATAAGTCGCGACACGATAGTTATGGTTATAATTAAAGTACTTTATTTTCCCCGATCTTTTGAATCTTGTTAAAACTATAGCTGGTTTTATAATAGTTTCGCCCCGCGTAATATAAAATATTGTATGTCAAACGGATATGTAT